TTTACTGACCGGTATCGGGATCGCAACCCTCGGTGTTGCGCCCGCACCGCGCCCAGCCAGTGAGCGGGAACTGGTCTCCACATGGGATCCGAACCCTCGGCGGGAGCACACTCTCCAGTGCGCCACCGGGCCGGCCCAGCCCAGAAGACTTCTGAAGGAATGCATGAATCGATGAATGTGAGGGCTGAAATCAGAGTCCCCATGCCCCAGCCCGCACTAACTGTGGCCAGCCAGCTCCCCTCTGGTTTCTGCCCCGTCCTGGAATCCTGTAGAAGCCTGGCTTTAGTTCAACAAAGCTGAGCGGGGACTTGAGCTCCCGTGCGGGTGGGTGGGGCACAGAAGCCACCTCACCCCTACCCTAAACAGAGACCAGATTCCAGATACGGAACTATAGTGTTTGCCAGATGGAAAATTACCTAAGCCAGTCAGATGAGGCCCCTAATGCTTTGCATCGAGCCAGGTAACAATCACATCAGAATGTCAGAGCTGGAGATCATTCTGGAGCAAGCCACGATGTTTACAGATGAGGAAACTGAGAAGGAGTCTCCTGGAGTCGACAGTGGGGAGGTGACAGAGACCCGGTCACAACCCTACACTCCAGGCCTGGGATCTTTCAGCCAAATCCCTGGGCCACTGTCTCCCACGAAGGAAACAAAAGTGGCCTCATTATGGTGACAGTAACTAACAGGCCCTGGCAACACCCATGAATCCAGCCCTAAGAGAACAGACAGAGCAGACCCTTTCCTCTTCATCAGCTGAGAGGCTGGATCTGGGGAGGAAATGGCTGCCTTCTCTTCTTCCTCCCTGTCTCTCTCTTCCTTTTTTCTTCTGGCAGAGAAATGAGTTTCATTCTGGGCGAGCTCATCCATTTTACGCACAGTTTCTTTGCTGTGGCAGTCAAGTCTTCTGGGTGGTCTCTTCTGCCGGGGGTATATGTGGGGGAGCCAGTGTTGCCCACAGCAGCAGGGGATGAAAAGGTGGGTATGAACATGGCGAAAAGATGAAGGGCCTGGAATGCACGTTGCCAGTCTGTGCTCCTAGCAAGGCCTGGGGCTGCCAGTTCAGTTTGCTGCCAGTTCCCCTACTTCCACCAAAAAGGCAAATAGATATAAAACAAACAGAAAAAGAGCTGTATTTGTAAATGAGATTGTCTGTCACTCAAAGGTGGCTCCTGGGGTGTGGGTGGCAGGCAGGAGAGCGTGTGTGTGTGTGTGTGTGTGTGCATGTGTGCATGCGTGTGCTGTGCACATGCATGTGGTTGGGTGCACGCATGTGGATTTGGGCTCCTGGAGCTGGGGAGAGGGTGCCTTGGCTGGGGAGAAGGCAGGAGGGAGTCTGATGGGGAGAGGACCACGGAGGCGGAGGGAGGTGCGGTCTTGGATGAGAGGGCAGGGAGGGCTGTCAGGAAGTGAGTGAAGGACGGGGCCACAGTGGCCTCCCTCTGCCCCTGCTGGACGGGGCTGATCCTGAAGCACAGGCCTCCTGACGCTGCCACCGAGTCTCCTGCCCACCCTGAAGGCTAAGGACAGGAGACTTATGTTGACATGGATGAGAAAAGTGTGTGTATTTGGGGGTTGGGAACATGAGGGTGACGAGTGCTGGTGGCAGCGCGGAAACCTCAAGCAAGTGCCTCAGCCTCTCTGGCCTGGTCTGTGGGCTGTGGCCACTCTCTCCTCTCTCCTGAGGCTGTCAGGAGGGTTGACTGTGTGCCTGGTACAAGGTTGGCAGAATATACATGTCTCTTAGTGCCAACTCATGGCAACAACAGTGCAGAAGTGAGGGAAAGTGGGGACAAGGGGAGGGGTTGGAACTAGCCTGTGGTCTGTCCTTGGGGTGGGGACTCCCAGCTTCCTCCGTTTCCCACCCTGGAGCTATGGGGTAGGGGCCAGAGAGTCACAGAAGTTCTGCCCACCTGGTGGGCCCCAGGCAGGGCTTGAGCTGCTCTGTCTCCCAGCAAGAAACCTGTTTCCCTGCAGGGCTGCCTGGTCCACAGGGACTTCCTAAGCTGGGCTGGCCTGGCTGGTGCTAGAAGGCAGGGAGCACTGGAAGAGGAGGGGTGAGGACCAGGGGGGCTCCCTGGAAAGCTAAGGAGGTCTCTACACACAGGCAGGGAAAGGGATTGTTCCAAGTGCAGCAGGGATGCAGGAGAGTGCAGGAGGGTGGGCCCTCGATGCCTCGGAAAGGTCTCAGGCCCATGCCCGTCCCCATTTCTCACACATCACTCCCACACACCTCGCAGAAACCAGGGCCCCTGACTCTCCGCACAGTAAGCCAACCCCCCTTCACACACAGCCCCGCTGGGACACTCCCCTCACCCCCCTGGGTGAAGGTGGCCTTCCAGCTCAGCCTGCATGCCCTCTGTCCTTCTCCTCATACCTCTACCCTCTCACGTGTCACCCTGACTTCTCTCAGAACCACCTCCAATGCTGGGGCACCTCGAATCATCACTCATCCGAGATATACATGACTACATTTTCTGAGCCCCAGTGGGGGACTCATGGTTTGAACATGGGCGGAATATCTGGATGGGTACTGGCCAGTCCACTCCACATAGTCACCAAACACCTGCTCTGAGCAGGGTGTCCTGGGATACCCAGCCCACCTAGGAGAAAAAAAGATTAATTTTTTTTTTTTTTTTATAGATGACCAGTAAGGGGATCTCAACCCTTGCCTTGGTGTTGTCAGCACCACTCTCTCCCAAGTGAGCCATGGGCTGGCCCAAAGAAGATTAATTTTGAACCGTGGTCACTATAGCAAAAGCACAGGCACGTCCCTTTGTCATTTGTGAGTTGGGGAGGGTCTGCCGGGGACACAGAGTGTACCCAGAGGGGTTTTGGCTGCAAATGCTTAGGGTTGCTGGGCAGGCTCCTTGAGATGCCATGTGACACAAAGTAATTTTTGGGAGGGAGCTTCGTTGTGGCCCCAGAACCAGGTTGGGGGTTGACTAAGGGCACTCGGGAACCCAGAGGTTTGGGGTCTTGAATAGCCTCAGATATAATGGGATGCAGAAAGTCCCTGCGGCCTAGGGATGTCCTGTCATTGAAAAATGAGACTCATCTCAGATCCCCTCTGAAGGGAAAGGGATGGATTTTCTCCATGGGAAGGTCCCCGCAGTCTCAGCCATTCTCATGCCATCCCCGTGAAACTCCCTGGGCACTCCCTTGGGAGGCCTGAGGAGCTAAGAGCCGTCTCTGGGCTTCTGTCCTCCTAGCCTTGGAGTCCCCGGGTGGGGTAAGGGACCCCCCTTGCACCTGACTCAACCCCAGTGTTGTCTGCCCAGCTGCCCACATTAACCTGGGCACCCAGGCTGCAGACCCCCGCCCCTCGTTTCAGCTGGACTCTACATAGGGAGGGGCCTTGCAGACCCGAGACAGCCCCTGGCGGACAGGCGCTCACTCTATCGAGGGCAGAACCACTGCTGTCACCCTTGTATCTTCCCCTGGTTCTCCAACATTTCCAGGAGGGTGCTGTCCTAAGTCCCCACAGCCTCCCTCATCCCTCTTGGCTCCACCACACTGTGACCTCCCCATTGCTCTGGCAGTGTCAAATCTTTAGACTCCATCAAAAGGAATTAGATACTGGCACCTCCCTTATGTCTAGAACCCTCTGACATTTCTCTGAGGGCCCTGTGGTGTTGGGTGAAAGGGTGACAGGACTGGGTCCAATCCACTACTTCTCACCTTGGGCATGTCATTTCATTTATTCCTAAGCCTCAGTTTCCTCACATGTAAAATGGGGCCAATCCCAGCTTCCCTCCACCCCGTGTGCAGACTAAGGAAAGCCCGGTCTTCTCTCTTCCCTCCTCTTGCACCATGGGGACCACGAGAGCTGTCTACTCTTGTGGGCTCCTGCTCATGGCTATTCCTGCGTCCTTAGCCAACCCACCCGCTGGTTCTCTGGCCTCCTGTTATTAACAACAGCGACTCTTTGCAAGTAGTCTGTGGTGGCCCAGGCACTGCGCCATTCCCCCATTTACTCCACGTTGAAGAGCTCAAAGCTTGGACAAGTGATTCCCCAGTATTAAGCATCTGTTAAGGACAGAGGGAGAATGCTAAGCCAGGGCTCTGGAGCGTCAGGTGGTCCCTTCCAGCCCATAGCTCCAAAGTGACTTTGTTGGCCACTTGGCTCTGAGTCTCTCAGGAGAACGTTCAGTCCCCAGGTGCCTCCTTCCCCAGCTAATTCCAAAGCTTGAGACAAAGAGGAATGGTTTATTGTGTCATGTGGCAATGGTGGGTTCACTTTAAAAAAGAGAAGCGTCAAGGAGAGAATCCCAACATGGTAGGGGGACAATTCACTCAGAGGCCAAAGCCTGGGGGTGGGAAGAGGGAAGCTTGGCCCAAGCAGAGCTGCATTTACAGTATTTACAGTCAGGCTGCGGGGGTGGGGGCGGGGGCTGCGGGGGCCAGTCAGGGGCCTCCACTGCTGGCTTTGGGGGTCGCCTCAGGGTCTCTTCG